CATACAGATAGAAGTCCCTCATATTTTTTTCTAATACTCAAGGCCCACTGTGAGTACCTACCTTGGGACCACTGCAGTAGAGTTATGATGGTGTGTAGATGGTGATTTGTATGAAAAATAAACTCCAGGCCAGGCGTGGTGGCTCATGCCTGTAATCCTAGTACTCTGGGAGGCTGAGGCGGGAGGATCACCAAGGTCAGGAGTTCAAGACCAGCCTGAGCAAGAGAAAAAAAAAAAAAAAAAAATGTGGGGTCAGTGTTCCAGTGGTGTGCAGAAGCCAGGTCGGACCAGCTCACAAGAACTAATTATTGGCTGGGCACCATGGCTTACGCCTGTAATCACAGTACTCCGAGAGGCCAAAGTGGGAGGATCGCTTGAGGTCAGGAGTTCAAGGCCAGGCTGAGCAAGAGCAAGACCCCATTTCTCCTAAAAACAGAAAAATCAGCCGGGTTTTGTGGTGCACACCTGTAGTCCCAGCTACTCAGGAGGCTGAGGCAGGAGGATTGCTTGAGCCCAGGAGTTTGAGGTTGCAATGAGCTAGGATGATGCCACTTCACTCTAGCCTCTAGCTGGAATGACAAAGAGAGACTCTCTCTCTCAAAAAAAAAAAAAACTGATTATTAAATGTTTAGGAATTCTGCAAGCTGGTTGTTAAGCACAGCCACTATTAAAAATTAGATTATATAAAATTAAATATATTAAAAACAATGTTTGGGGGATGGTCACACTTGAAGCTCTGACTCAAGGGGGGTGGGGGGGCATGGGCAATATATGTAGCCCTAACATTTGTACCCCCATAATATGCTGAAATAAAAAAAAAATGTCAAAAAAAAAAAACCCAAGGTAACAAATACTCAAACTTACTACTTGCTAATGATTTTACTGTATTTTACTATTATCTTTGCTCCTAAGGTGATTTAGGACTGTGCATCTCTATGGTGGAAGTACTAGATAATGGTGTCCTGTGCATTGCTTCCCAGCTCTGTGTTTAGTGGCATCTCGTTGGTAGCTTGATATTCACCATGATGAGAGTCTTCACACCACAGAAATGGGCAAATACAATTAAAGCTATTTTTCTTTTCTTTTTTCTTTTTTTTTGAAAGTCAGCTGATAAACATTTACCAGTGCACCCCTGGTGGTATCCATTAACTAAATGGAAGAGGAAAGGAAGCACTGGGAAGCCCAGCACTCACATCTTTTCATTCCTGGACAAAAGCATGTGGCCCGAGACACATTTCAGAGGCCTCCGCAGCGCCGACTTCCCCGCCTCCTTTGTTCCAGCGAAGGCTTTATGTGAAACTAGGCTTTCTTGACAACTGAAAATCATGAAAACAGAAGGGGGATGGAAGTGTTTTTCTGCAGGACTTAATTCCTGAGCCAAATGCCTGTTTTGGCAAGAGGCCGCTCTGTGGCCTATCGGCGTACAAGGAGTCAGCTTAATCTTCCCCAGAATCCAAAGGCAATCCACAGGAGCCTGGGCTAAAATTACATCGGCTCTGGCTTGCCGAACTGGAGGCTACATGATGGCCAAATGGTGCTGATTTAGTGTTTCCCAATTATCGGGAAATCCCCAAAGAGAGAGCAATCAGCAGAGGCGGCCTGCGTGTGTATGGGGGACAGCGGCTGGGGCAGCCCCAAAAAGGAAACTGTTCCCAGAGGGCTGGTTCCTGTCCAGGCAGAATCCAAGGGCACACGTGGCAGGAGAAGGTTGGATGGTAGCCAGCATGAGGAGATGAGATCTGTTAGTAATTCTGCAGAAGGACAAAGTTCCAGTAATAAGAAATCCAATTGTCCTCCATTACAGAAAGCATCTCTCAGTACCAGCTGAATACAACTGATGGAATAAATCATACCCATTTGCAGAGAGATAATTTCACATAAATATATTGGGAGACCTTCAGAGCAGGACTGAAAAAGTCTTTGCTGAGCTTCACCTGCTTAACTCGTTTGCTGTGTAATTGCATTTAGACCAAGGGCCTGCAAAGCAAACTGCAGACCGAATTAACATTAACCAGATTGTGTGTGGTGAGGCTGGGGGTGGGGTGTGGGGGGACTTTGGTGCATTGTGGGTAGTTGTTCTTGCCTTCAGAAAGGACAAGCTGACACTAGTGAGACCAGCTGCTTACAAGCCTGGTGTTAATTGCTTTTCTCATCAAACAGAGAAAAGTTTATCACTCTAGGAAGGTAGAGGTGTGGGTACCTAACAAAACAGGGACTGAATTTGAGATCTTTTTTTATGAATGTCCACAGGCCTCATCCCTAGGCCAGAAAAAAAGCCTTCTGAACTGAGGAGAATGGAGAAAGCTATGTGCACAACAGTGCCTGCATTTTTGTCTCAGATTTGTCTCATCGGAGAGGACTGTCCTCCCACTGCCCTGATTCCCTAGGATGTTGACACCCCCGGCCAGCGCCTTCATTTCCTCCCATTGCCAGTGGCAAACACGCTGGTCCAGAGCTGGAGTCAGAGTCATGAGGCCCAGGTTCAAGACCTGGCCCTGCCACCACCTGCCAGTGTGGCTTTGAGCAAATCATGTGACCTCTCTGGAACCCAGTTTCCTCTTTGATAAAATGAAAGGTTTCCACTAATCTAGTGATTTTCCGACTGACTTTTCCAGACTGACACCCCAGAGCTGCCTTCAGAACCTCCCCCAAGGGGAGAGCAGCCCCCACCGCTGCTTCATCCAGAGATGATCTTCCTATTTGTTTTCCACTTTGAAGTCCTTATAGAATGTCATCTACCAAAAGTTTCTGTTTCTGAACTATTTGAGAAACCATCATTCCACAAATCTCTAATTCTTCCACTTATTTGTGCAGCCACCATTTTTTTAAGTGACCTAATACTTGTTAGACATGGTCCAGGTACTTGCAGAGAGAAAAAAAAAAAGAATCCTTGACCTCAAAGAGCTTGTGATCTAGTGGAGAGGAGGAACATGTATGTTTTGGCAGGGTATCAAGGTGTTTGTGTCAGATTTGCAGGGAAAGAGGGACTAGTTCTGCTTAGGGGCATCAAAAAAGACTTCAGGGAAGAGGTATCATTTGAAGCTGGGTCTTTAAGGGTGAGAATGTTGGGAAAGGGTTGCAGGAATGACATTTTGGGTGGATGGAAGAATATTGTAGACACAGAGGTTCTAAGCAATGTTCTCCAGGGAAGTTTGGGAGAAGCAGATGTTTTGATGTCTATGATATAGAGAAGGGGAACATTGGGCAGGATGACAGGTTCCATAACCCACTCCAAGGGTTTGCTAGCATCTGTCCTTCCATCTCTACTGCCAGATGAAAGGAAGTACCCTCCGTTCTACTCACTTTCTTGTATGTTCACTTCCAATGAGACAGTTAGTGACAACAATAGCTATTACCATTTAGGGAGCTTACTCTGTACCAGGATGAAAAAACAGAGGCTCAAAGGACAGTCACATACCTGCACAAGTTCAGAGAGCTAGGAAATGACAGAGTTGGGATTTGAACCCAGATCACCTAACTCCAAATCCGCACACATAGCTACACTGTATTGCCCTCTGGGATCAGTTTTATCTCCTTATAGCAATATAGTATCCTTAGAAAATAACCTCTGAGTGAGATACTTGAAAATACCTCCCAATAGCATTCTCTCAAGGATACTTTGATGCCTTAAATTGAGGTGGTATTTTTAAAAGATTATTGTTTATCTTGAGTGAATACCATGAGTTCCTAGGTGCAAAATGTGTCTGAGTGATTGGCCGCTGTCTTCTGACCTCAGGGGGTTCCCTGAGGACCAGGGCTCTGACCATGACAAGTACATCACGTTATTCTCTCTTTTCTTCCCACAGGCATGCATGCGTTATTCGTGGTCAGGTGATGACATCAGATGGGACCCCCCTGGTTGGTGTGAACATCAGTTTCGTCAATAACCCTCTCTTTGGGTATACAATCAGCAGGCAAGATGGCAGGTAGGAGATGGTTTATGGGCCAGGAAGAGTGAAGGCCCTGCTCTTGTGGTCTTGCCATATCGTTGCTACTGGATGGACAATGGGGAAAGACGATGGGACTTGGGTTCAGAGGGCCTGAATTCAGATGCCAAGCTCTGCAGCTCACTAGCTGTGTGACCTTGTACCTGAGTCTGGCCTATGTCCCTGTGACTATGGATGAAGCAGTTTCTTCTTACTTGGTTCTCAGAGTAAGCATAGGGTACCTTATACATATTATCCTCCTCCATGATTTATGATCTGAAATACTGCATGTGGACCACTTTCTACAGACCAGACAGCTCCAGAAATCTCAGCCATTCCTGTTGTGTGGTTTCCATCCTTCAACTGCATAGGTCTGTGGAAGCCATTTGGGTGATAACAGAATTCAGACCTTTGAATTCCTCCAGGAACCGTCAGTAGAATGAGGCAGCGCTTCCTTAACAGCCCTAGCTCTCCCACCTGTTAGCTGCTTGTCCTTGGACAAATCTCCTAATCTCTCCAAGCCTCAATTTCTTCATCTGTTAAATGGTCCTGATGCCATCTATCTCACAAATTGGTTGTGAGAGCAGATTATAAGTGGCTGAGGAAGCAGCTGGCACACAGCAGGTGTTTAATAAATCTCAGTTCCCTGCCCCCCTTTAATGTGTTGCTGTATTTCCAGTGTCTGGCACATAATAAGTATATAGTAAATATTAGCTATGTATTAAGATTTCAAATTATTGAATGGTGAGAAGGTGATGGTAACAGGACAGGCAATGAGAAGATTTTGGAGGAAAGGGAAGGAGGAGGAGGAAAGTGGAATATTTAGGCTGTCAGTGGAGACAAGTCCTCTGTTTTTAATAAAACCAGGTGGTGTTAGTCCATCTGGCTAAGTGTGGGCCCATAAGGTTGATTTTCACTCTGTGTTGGAAATTATGCTCCAGCTTGATTGATTTTAGCACCTCTTTAATCCAATATCAGATGTGAGCGCGTCCCGGCCGAGGTGATAATGAAGTGGAGGCTCATCTGTTTGCAGACATGTGCGCCTCTTAGATGGGCTTGGCAAGCATGGTGCAGGGCACCCCTTCCCCTCCTCCCACTCCATGTGAATGGGACGCGCCCCGCTGGAAGAGGCTAGTGGCCAGTCCTAGGGGTAAACTGGCCAGGCCAGGTCGCTGCCCCCTGCCCTGTACACCATCCAACCCAGGACAGGAAGCGCCGCAGTGGAGATGCCCACTATGGCATGCAGGAATCTTCTTCCTTATGCTCCGTCTCTACTGCCTTCCGGTTCAGGTCTGCCGGCTGTATAACAACGGCAGATGTGAGCATCCTGAGCAACAGGTATTCTGATGACGTCATTCCCTGCTGTGAAACAGTCATCAAAAAGGAGCCTTTGAGGACTGCTCTCTTTTTGCCATGAAACTTGCCAGTCACTTAAGTGAGGTGACAAATCATCAGTCCTTATGCCCTGCTCTGGTTGGGTAGGGTAGGTCCACACAACACACCAGAGTCTGGCATGAGGTTGGTGGCCCTTGGGAAAAGCTTCCTCTCTAGCACCTCCAGGCTCTGATTCCTCCTTTTCATGCTACCCCTGCAATCTCTACTGCCCCTTGAGAGCGTGGAGGTCCTGGGAGTTAAATATCAGCTGTGTTTCCTGCATCAGCCTCCTGTGGTACATCACAGGAGCCAGTGCTGCCACAGAGCTGGAGTTTCAGATCAAGTCTTACCAATGCATTACGGGGCTTAAATATTCTTCCCAACACTGCATAATGTACAGGAGAGTTATCACTTTCTCTCTGAGTGTCTGAAAAATCCCTGTTAGTTATATAGAAACAGGCAGCATTTCCCTCCCAGTCTTCCTTGACTCACCTTCTGTCTTACCTCTCATACCCTAGGAGAAACTACAGGACTAGAGCTGTAGTCTGGAGATAACAGTATATGCAAGTGACCTGGGAGGTCAGGGAGTGTGTCTCACTTTGTGTCCCTCACTTTCCAGGCAGGCACCTTGTCACTCGCGCTCAGCCAGCTCCCTTACCCTACACACACACACACACACACACACACACACACACACACACAAGATTCACAAACAGAAAACAGTAGCCAAAGTTAGCCAAAGAGATCATTAAAAAATTGCAAAATAGAAGTCATGAAGAAAAACTAAGAGAAGCAGCTGAAACTCAATGAATTGAAAAACGGGGTGATAGGGAGCACGATGCCCAGAAATGTGTGGGGCCTGAGCCTTTCCCACCTGTTATCCCATCTGTGTAATTGATAATTGGTTTCTAACCCTGCCCAGTGATTGTGATCATCAGCTCCATTTTACAGATAAGGAAACCGAGGCTTGGAAAGGTGACGTGACTCACCTGTGGAGTAAGTAGCCTTGCTCAGACTGGCCCTAAACTGTCTGGGCTTCATCTGAGGACCAGCCCTCCCTTCGGGGTCAGACCCACATTCCCATCCGCAGTGGGGCTTCCCCTCCAGGTGAGCAGGCCCGGCCCACTCCACCCAGCTCCCGCAGCCTTGGGAGGATGTCCTTTCCTATTTATCTCCCCTCCCTCCCCACACTCAGCCTTTCATGAAGGGAGCCCATGAGTCTGGCCAGAATCGTTTGACAGTTAAATGCTCTGTCCAAACACAGATGCTCTTCCGTCCTGTGACAGAAAAGTCGTTTTCTGGGTATTTCCCCCAACCCGTGGATATTCTCCTGGAGAGCAAAAACCTCAATTCTTGGTTCAAAATAAACACCTTCCCTTGTGTTACTCTGCCATTACTTATTGATCAGCGGTACTGCCTGGCTTCCTCCACCCACCTGTGGGCCAAGAAAGGGCTGAGTGAGGAGCAAACTGGTGTTAAGTTCTTGCAAAGGACAGAAGAGTCAGGCTTTGGAGCTTGGAGGACTGAACTTGGGAATGCCATCTACCAAGAGCAGGATTTGGCACTAGGACAGGACAGTTCAATGCCGAATCCTTGCGGTTTCTAGAGGAGGGAAGAGCAAGCCAGAGCAATGGGCCCAATCCCACAAGATGGATTTATCAGGGTAAAGCTGAGATCCTGCACTGGGGTCTCTCACACCACCCGCACAGGTGGACATTAGGTTGAATTGTAATTACAGCCAAAGAAAGAAGGGACTTAGTGGACTGTCAATACAGAAGTTGTTAACAGTGTCACTCATGAATTCATTCTGTAAACTTTTAATCATCAAGCACTGGGCTAGTTTCTGTAAAGACAGAGAAATCGATGTCCCTGGCCGGAAAGCTAGATGAGCAATTACAATGTGATGCAATGCAGCGCGTGCACAAAGTGCAATGGAACCCAGAGAGGGAGCGGGAATTCCGACTGGGGAAGGCCGAGTGGAGGAGGTGAAATTTGAGCCATCCAGTTTGATAGTTAGGAGGAGCTCTCCATCCCAAAAAAGCAAATTGAGCCAGGCCTTGAAAATGCACCCTAAAAGTAAGAGCTAACAGGACTCTGTCCAAAAAGAGACTATAGCCAGGGGATGGCAGGTGGACAGGATCACTGTTTCCAAGTCCTGAAGGACTGGCAGAGGCAGAAGGAACAGTCTAGTTTGAAGTCACCCAGCAGGCAGATCCAGGCCCAGTGAATAAAGAGCTAGAATGAGAAGGTTCCAGGCTCAAAAACGTCCTAACAGTCAGAACTAACCCAGGATGGGACAGTCCTCCTATGCATATAGCATTCTCCTCATCACTGGAAATGTGCAGGTAGGAACTGAATGGGCCCTTGATGGTAATTGTGCAGCAGGGACTAACGCATCAGATTGGGAAGAGGGACTAGGTCAGATGACCATTAAATTCCCTTCCAGTGGTTCAGCTGTTACTTGATTTCTGTTTTAGGAGGAGGAAGGACACAACATTCTAGTCTGAGATCTTGTAGCTCAATGAACATAGGGCCTTAAGCCACAGCCAAGCCCTCTACTTGCCTAAGCAGACCCAGCCTGTGGGATTAGTGATGTGCCTGGGTTCACACCCGAGCTTCCTTTCCTGTTGTCTATAACCCAAGCTCATCTGGATTCTGAGCTTGTGGCTACAGAACCCTCAGATCAGTCTCTGTGGGACTGGGAAGTGTCAGAAAATATTGAGATGTTCAAATGGGGACTCTTTTTCATTGGATATTCAAAAATTAAACATTGACACCAAGGCTTGGATGGGCAAGTGCCTGGCTAGGTTTGTCCACAGGTGATGGGAATTAAGATGCCATAACCAAACAGAGCTGCTGTTTCTGGTGGGGTCCTGTTTGCATGCAAGATATTTTGGGGTGATGCAAGGAAGACTCTACCTGTACAATCCCCATGAGTGTGTGAAACAAGAGAGGCCTAGCAGGGGTCAACTAGGATGGGAAGGGCCTGGAGACCATCCTAGAGCAGACCTATTTGGTGGTGTTTTGGAGCCAGAACTAGGACTAGGAAGGCAGGTTCCTGCTCAGACCTTCCCACCATCCTCAGAGGATAAAGAACAAAAGCTCTCAGGACACTGTCACAGTGATCTTCTCTCAAGTAGGAGGTTGGTATTCAGTATTCTGGTTGCTCTGTCACTTTTTTCAGACACAGGGTCTTGCTCTGTCACCCAGGCTAGAATGCAGTGGCTTGATCATAGCTCACTATAACCTTGAACTCCTAGGTTCAAGCAATCCTTCCACCTTTCAAGGAGATGGTACTACAGGCAGGGACCACCACACCTGGCTAATTTTTTAAATTTTTCTGTAGAGATGGGGTCTTGCTACATTGCCTGGGCTGGTTTCAAACTCATGGCTTCAGGTGATCCTCCTGCCTCAGCCTCTCAAAGTGTTATGATTACAGGCATGAGCCACCATACCCAGCCAGATATTGTGATTCTAAGTGTGCCATCTCTGAACTGCTTAGCTGTTTTGTAATTGCAAAGGTTTTTGTTGAGTGATCTATCACAGAGCTAAAATTGCTGTAGATATATAGAATCTAAATGGCTTAAGAATAATCTATTTGAGGCTTTACATTTTACAGGTGAAAAAATTGAGGATCAGAGAGGCCAAGTGACTTACCCAAGATCACACAATAGTTCAAGGCAGAGCCAGGACTAGGCTTAGGGTTCCTAACACCCAGGTCAGGGCTTGTTCTGCTTTGTTCTGCTGACTTTTCACTATGGGACTTTAGCTCCAATACAGTTGAAAGGCCATGAGTACCAGGAACACTGCAGCAGGGGACCCATCGGCTGTCCTGTATCCTGTGGCAAATGGCTCTCTGTAGCAGTGGTTAATCTCAAAAAATTCTCTACAGTGAATCATTTTACAAAAAAAAAAAAGAAAGAAAAAATAATGCTTTTGCTTAGACCCTTTGGTGTAATTTTCTCTCCTTTCTTGGTCTCTCTTTCTCCTGCTTCTCCTCATCCTGGTTCCTGCTCTCCCTGCTCCCCCCTACCCTCCCTTCAACCCTCCCCTCCCAAACAGCTTTGACTTGGTCACAAATGGCGGCATCTCCATCATCCTGCGGTTCGAGCGGGCCCCTTTCATCACGCAGGAGCACACCCTCTGGCTGCCGTGGGATCGCTTCTTCGTCATGGAAACCATCATCATGCGGCATGAGGAGAACGAGATTCCCAGCTGCGACCTGAGCACCTTCGCCCGCCCCAACCCCGTGGTCTCTCCATCCCCCCTGACATCCTTTGCCAGCTCCTGTGCAGAGAAAGGCCCCATCGTGCCAGAAATCCAGGTACCCAGCCTTCCTACCTGCATCTCGCCATGCTTGTATCTCACCTGGGGGTGGAGGAGGGTCTCCGAGACAGTGGAGAGAGAAAACACCTCTGTGGGACCTGGGTCAGACCCCAGCAGCCCCCCACATGGAATCCAGCCACCAAACTGTATGGCACGCGTGACGTCAGGATGCAAGGATGTTACACACGGAAACACAGGAGCACCTGGAAACTGCCTGGCACACTCCCTCTCCCTTTCCACTCTGCCATCCAGGTCCCTTCCACTTCCTTTTCCCCACCCTCCAGTGTCCCCTCTCATTATTTCTGCTAAAAATATTGAAAATCATAGGTTCTACCAAGAGGAATAGGTCAGAGAATCCCAAATAGTGAGCATTATAATAAAGATTAAATGAGAAAAATGTGTATGAGGTGCTTAGCACGTCTAGCATCTAGTAAGTGCTCAATAAATTTTAGCTATTATTAAGATTATTTAACACACACTGCCTTCATGCCAATTAAGGATTCCTTTGGCTCCAATCTATACATGCAAGTGCTTTATTTAATTATCATTAAAGGGAAGTAATTGGGAAAGATACATTTTTATGTGACAGAAATTAAGATAGATTTCTTTTTTTTTTTTTTTTTGGTCTAACAAAGCTCTGCCAGTTAAATTTCCTCCACTGTCCCCAGCCCAATTTCTAATGGCAAAAATGAAGGCCTAGGAAGAAGAGAGATGTCAGTGCAGAAGCCCAGGAGAAGCTCTGGCCGTCTGGCCTGCCTAATGAGAGCCGGGGCAGCAGCATGTTAATGGATTGCGGGCGCTGGCAGAGCAGGGAGTTTATGCATCTGTGTATGTATATTTCATGCCTGGCTGAGCAAACACATCTCTCCACGTGTACCCTGTTGAGTGGCTTCCAACGCCAGCCCACGGGAAGGAAATACAACCATTTTGAAATTCTTGCACTCACAGGTTGAAACCTCTCTGCTTGTCAGAGATTCCGCGCCTATCTCCTGTCTCAACCACCAGGCTGACCTTTCTTATGAAATGGTTGTCAGTGGAGACAGAGCTTGCTGGAGAAAAGTAATTTGTTACTCGATTCTGGCTCAGCCCCAGCTAGACATTTTTCCCAGGAGCAGGGACTTTGGAACAAATGAGGTTAAAGGTTGCACCCTCTCTACAGGGCTTCCTGAGCTGGGGCCCTGCACACTCAGTTGGGGCACAAACCGGTTCATTATCGGATTCACAAAAAACACAACAGCAAACTCTGGGGTTGTCCCAATCCTATTGTTGGTTAGCCTTTGTAAATGCTGGGAGAGGTAAATTTTAAAGGGTACATTAAAGAAGGTAAATATTTATGAGAGCACCAGGATGGCACTGACATCAGGAACCGCCCTGTGGTTCATCAGGGTGTAGAGCCTGCTTTGCCTGGAACTTGTGAGCTGTAATTTAGGAAGATTGCCTTGGTTTAGGCCCAATCCCTGAAATTTCCCATGTTTAGGAGAGCGGGGTGGGAGTGGGGTCCACACCCTTCTATGAAGACCCAGCTACTCTGTGAACACAAGGGTAGAATAATCATTGTCCCCTGAATAGATACGTTACCCTCAAATGATTAAATGTCCCTTTCTTGAAACAGAGCCCAGAGCACGAAGCTGATAGAGTTCTCTGCTTTTGCCACGTGCCTGAGCACCCTGGCATTCATTTAAACTTCCCGTCCTGGAACCAAGCCCATTGCACCCAGTAGATAAAGTGCTGCCTGCCCACTACTCTGTTCCTCTGACACGGCCCCGGAGCTCCGTGCGCGGGTCAGCCTCTCTCCGTGGGTGAGCCGGGGCTCCGCCACAGGTCCTTGCCACGCTGTGTTCTCAGCTCTGCGTAATGATTTGTTTGGTCAACAGCTCGTAGTCTCTGTTTACCTCCTCCAAAGGAAAGGTGCTTGAAACAGATCTTACTTTAGGAAAGTTTTGAGAGAGGCCCCCTCTTTCTTGCTTAGGCAGCTGTCCACATTCATCGGAGAGGAAGGTCTTTCTTCCTGGTCACCTGCTGCCAGCATCACCAACACTAGCAGTGCCGTTGTCTTACCTGGTAACATTTATACACTAGGCACTTTCCGTGTGTGACCTTACTCAACCCTCATGCTAATCCAGGGAGGAAACTGAGATTCAGAGGTTCCCTGAGTTTTCTAGGATGACGCAGCTAGTGAATCAGAGGCAACACAAGGCTAAGTATTTTATATGCATTATCTCATGTGTCCCTCTCAAAAATGAAGTGCAGTGAGCATTATCAACCCTGTTACAGAGGAGGAGCCTGAGGCTCAATGTGGTGAGGGGACTTACGCAGGGTCCTACCACATAACAGTTGGTCTTCCGACTTGTTTCCCTCCTCCCTGATCCTTCCTCCCATCTCTCTCATGTCCCCCTCCTCCTCCTGTTCCTCCTCCCCCTCTGCCTTCTTCTGTCTCCTCTTTTTCTTTCTCCTCCTCTCCCTCTCTCCTCCTCTCCTCTGTTCCCTCCTCTACATCCTGAACACCCAGGGTCTGTGGGGCCATGGCCAGCCTCCCTCCGCCGGGGCGTCAGTGCCCATCACTTGCTGTGCTCTGTCTCTGTCCCCAGGCTTTGCAGGAGGAGATCACCATCTCTGGCTGCAAGATGAAGCTGAGCTACCTGAGCAGCCGGACCCCTGGCTACAAGTCTGTGTTGAGGATCAGCCTCACGCACCCCACCATCCCCTTCAACCTCATGAAGGTCCACCTCATGGTGGCGGTGGAGGGCCGCCTCTTCCGGAAGTGGTTTGCTGCAGCCCCAGACCTGTCCTATTACTTCATCTGGGACAAGACAGACGTCTACAACCAAAAGGTGTTCGGGCTCTCAGAAGCCTTCGGTAAGCCCCCAGCCACGGGACTCAGAGAGAACAGCACTTGGAGGGAGGACTCTTTTTCCACCTCCCTGGTTTCTTCTTCCTCCCTTCCTCTTCTTAGATCAAAAATAGCCAAGGCTTCATTGGCCTTTAAGACCATCCCTGACCTAAAAGAATGTACTGAAAGACCTGAATATGGAAAACTTGACCATTAAAACGAGGTTTCAAAACCAAAGTGGCCCTTGAAAAGCATTTTGGTGGCACATGGTGGCTAAAAAAGGCTGTGTGCCACAAAGGCAGGGCCACGTGGACATTGCCAGGCCACCCACAGCCATATCCTGCTGGAACTTATCCATGGAAATAGGGGAGCTGAAAAACTGTTCCTTCAAATTTTTTTGAGGTGCAGGAGCTAAGATTCTCCCTTCATCTGAAATGCTTATTTCCTATCAGAGAGGTGATCTCTCTATTGCTCTTAGCGCTGTGTTTTTGTAAGATGAAACAGAATGTGACTCTAGCCTCACCTACAGTCCCAGTCTCACTTGGACCTGGGGCTTCCAAGGGCTGGCTAGACTCATGTCTGCTTCTGAAGTAGAGCAAGGTCCCCGGAAAGGCCCCGAGCAGGACAGGTAGCAGTCCTAACCTCTGCAGGGCTGATCCACCAAGCACTCAAGGGTAGCAGCCCAGCAAATCTCTTCTTGAACCCTACTGCAATATTACTCCCTTTATAGATTCAGCAAAGGTAGAATGAGGATGCAGAGAAGAATGCTGTGTTTAGAAAAGAAGGAGGGAGGGAAGAAAGAAGGGGGGGGAGGAAGCAAGAAAGGGAAGGATGTGGGGAAGAAGAGAAGGAGGGATGTGGGAAGGAAATAAAAAAAATCTCCAGTGAGCACCTGCTCTGGGCAATGTGCTCCCCTGTGTATTAGCATCTCAGTTAATCCTTATATCTCCGAGTCAGAAATTATTATCCCCAAATTCTGCATGGGGAAGCTGAGGCCCAGAGGCCTCCCAAGGATGCACAGCTAGGAAGAAACAGAGCTGGCTTTATCCCAGATCTTTCCATAAGTGTGCGTTCCCACCCTACCCCACAAGGGCACATTCAGAGCAAAGATGCCATCTCTCACTGTTCACGATCCCTTCTGTAGTTCAAGCCACTTCTATCATCTCTTTTAAAAAATGAGGCCTTATAACCTCTTTGGATAAAATGAGCACATTCAACATCCACCAGTCAGTTAAAAAGGGAAGTGTCTGGCCTGGGGTCACTGTCCTGAGATCACAGGTGACCGGTAGTAGGCATAATGGCTGGTAAAGCCACTCAAGGTCATGGGAAGGAGGTCACAGGGACATCTCCTGGCCTGTTCCCCTGTTGCCATAGATGGTCAGCCATCTTTTATGGCACCTACAAGAAACTTAAAGGGGCTGCCCATTGTTAATTCCTGTCTTGAACACGTGGTGGGATATTGCCCGCTGGAAAATAGTGCCTGCATGCAAAGAAGCTTGGAAAAAATAGCATTCCTGTCTCTGCTGGTTCCTTTTCATAAATCAGTTACAGGACTTTTCATAAACCCAGGCTCAAGGAGCCTGCCACGTTTAGCCTTCATCCCAGTGACCTTCTAAGGGAGCCTGGAGTTGTGAAACAAAAGTGAAACCAGGGGATTTTCAAGCTTTGAAAGCTCAAAGCAACTTCCAGCTTTAAAAATACTCCAACTGAGCACCTTTTCTGTGTATTCATTATAAGTGATTTTAGATTCTTTGCTTTATAAAAGAAAAACACCATGGTCATTAATAAAAATTTGAGAAATGGACAAAAATAGAAAAAAGCCCTATGTGATCCTATAAAAAATACAACTACTCATTAACATTTCAATTTATTTTCTCATTTCATATGTAGTTTTTAAAAATGCAGATTATTGTATATAATCAGTATTTTCAACTGAGCATTATTCCATAAGCATTTTGCATGTCACCACATGGTCTTTATAACTGTAATTTCCAATGGCTCTGTGACATTCCTGGAGTGGACACACCTGCCCCTCTTGAACCTTTAGTTTACTTCCAGTTTTCTGCTATTTTAAATAATGCTGCATTGAAGACTTTTGTGTATATAAAGTATTTTCCATACTAAAGATTATTTCCCTGGAATTGATTCACCTGGGTCCTTTCAAAGCAATTGAAAGTATTTGCTTAACTTTTCCCAATAATGTACAATTGCTCTTCAAAAAAAAAGAAAAGGTTATTGAGGCTCAGCAGATCTTCATGTTAGTATTTCACATAGTTCTGGTTCCAACTTAGAAATATGCTCCTTTTTCCCTCTTCTACAAAAGAGAAGCCAGAGGCTTTGGCTGCGGGTCTAAAGGCCGAAGAGTTCTTTGCTCACTGATGCATTTTGCTCCCCTTGTGACCTGCAGTTTCCGTGGGTTATGAGTATGAATCCTGCCCAGATCTGATCCTATGGGAAAAAAGAACAGCAGTGCTGCAGGGCTATGAAATCGATGCGTCCAAGCTTGGAGGCTGGAGCCTAGACAAACATCATGCCCTCAACATCCAAAGTGGTGAGTGAATTAATAGAATTCCTTAAGCCAGGTGGGGTGTGCAGGGGGGAGGGGACCCCTGTCTTATATCCTTTGTGCCCTGCCAAAGAAAAAAATGCATACTCTGAGTCCCACAGGCTCCTATGTGATCTGTCATTCAGCAGGCTCAGTCACCAAATATTGCTTGGGTGCCTGCTCGGAACCTGTCACTGTGCCAGGCACTGGGGACACAGAAATGAAAGGCCTCAAGACTTTACACTGGTCAGACACAAATACAAATGCCGTGCCATGGCCATGGCATCTCGGAGGGAGGTGCAGGACACTATGGAGGCACAGAAGAGCAGCACCTGCCTCAGCTTCTTGGTGTCCACCAAGGCATCCCTTTGGCAAGAACACCTGAGCTGGGGCTCACAGGGTATAGAATCAGCCCCGTGTCAAGTAGAGAGAACAGTCTGGGCAGAGGGCACAGTGTGTGCCCAAGCACTGAAGCCTGAAGGAAGAGTCACTGGAGAGAAGGTTCCTTGTGATTGGGGCAGCAGGTGAGTTGAAGGGAACAGCAGAAGCCAAAGCTGGGGGCACGAGCAGCTGGAGCCCAGGGTAAGAAGATTAGGACTTTCAACTTCACCGGAGGCAGCTATCCAGCCTCTGAAGGGTTTAAAGCCCGTGCGTGGCATGATCAGATCTGGATTTTCAATAACTCACTCTGACCATGATCCAGGGTGGGACAACCAAATACAGTAACAATGTCAGATATCTCCTGCCTAATCCGAAAGGGCGATGAATGCGTGTCAAAGCCACAGCATGTTTGGGAGGAAATTCATAAACTAATTTTAAAATTTATGACAGAGTGAAGATTTGTAAATAGCTGAAGCAGTCTTTAAAATAAGAACAAAGAAAAAAGGACTCACTAGATACTAAGCTATCTTAGAAAAACCATACTATCTAAAACTGTGGGGTGCTGGCACAGAAACAGATAAATAGATCCCAGAGGGAAGAACATGGAGTTCACAAGTTGACCTCTGAGCCGTAATTAAAACCAGGTTTGGCCCTGAGTGTTAGAAAAGACAAAACAACAGAATTGCAAACAAGTTTGCTTCTCACTCACCTACAAGACTGGAGGTGGCTCATCCCAGGCTGCAGGCCGGAAGCCAGGCTGCCCCTGTCTTCTTGCTTCTACTCGGGCCTCCATGCCCAAGGTCATGGTCCACGGTGACCACTTCAGCCAGCAAGACAGAGAAAAAGGATGAAGAGTAAGTCCCTTCCATCGTGAGGATGCCTCCCAGCAGCTTCCCACACTACTTCTACTTACACGCCACCGTCCAGAACTTAGTCACGGACATAGCTGCCCACAGGGCTGGGGATTGTAGTCATGTGCTCAGCTAAATATCAGAGGTTCTCTAACTGCAGCAAAAGGAAAGCAGGGATGGGATGGATATCAGTGGGTAAATAGGAGTATCCGCTACACACCATGTGTACATAGGAACTTGGTACATAGAGGTAGCATCACGTATCAGTGCAGAGTGGCTGTGTGTTTTAGAAATTGGTACTGGGAAAATTGGCTCAATATGTGGAGACAAATTAAATTAAGTCCCCACTTCACACTGTATACAAAACAAATTGAGTTGTTTTCTTAAACATCTAAGTGTGAAACATAACACCTTAAAATTGATGGAAGAAAATAAAGAAGACTATCTTTTAAAAATCTCAGGAAAGGATTTCCTGAAACCTAAAAAAACTCAGACTTTAAAGTGGAAAAATAATTGATTAGACTACATAAAAATTAAAGATATCCATTCACTAAAGGACTGCTTTGACAAAGCTAAGAGATCACAGCTGGGGGGAAGATTCTGTAACCTATTAAAGCCAGAGCCCATGCAGGCTTCTGCATGAGAACAGGGAGGCAGGAGACAGAGGATGCAGTGGCAATATGCAGCCGGGAGGATGAGCTGGACTGAAAGCAAGTGGTGTAGACGTGGGAGGAAGCTTACAAGTCATGGAGGTCAATCCCTTATCCTGTTGGTGGGAAATCTGAGCCCCAAGGAGAGTTAAAGCAATGAAGAAACTTATACCAGATCTGGGACCAGCCGTTAGTAGCAACACCAGATAAAAACCCATCTCTGTACTCTAGCTTGACAAGAAGAAACTGTGAGTTGCGCACGTTCATTTCTGTGAACATTTATTGGTATCTGTTGTGTCAGGCTCTGTTGAAGAGGATGAAGGATGAAGACACAGTCTCCACACTTGAAATGGTGGTGACTGAAAAAGAGAAACAAGTAGCGCAGTAAAGAAGTTATGCTGTCGTAGAGCTGTGGACTGGGTGCCGAGACACGGGCAGCCTGTCGAAGGGACAGTGTAGCTGAGTTCCACTCGTAGCCTCTGTGGCCTTGGGAAGCTGCCTCGCCTGGCCCCCTGTTACAGTGCAGATGGTGGCAGCGCCTGTCTTACGTAGAATTTACTGATTGAATCAGGAAGTCAGTATGGCCTGTTTAGGACACCCTGGGTGTCACCGGGGAACAAGGAGCAGCCTTGGGGTACTCCTAAGGTGCTGCAGAACCAGCGGAGTCAGCCTCCCCATCCTGATCATGAGGGATGGGGCACAGCTGCATTTATGGCTCAGGGAAGAACCTGGTGTGTTGGATTTTTCTCTGGAAAGGGTTGGCAGAGACCTCGCATGCCTTGCAAAGCCAGGGTCACTCTGCGACCCACCACAGGAGAGGAGACACATTTCTGCTCCGCAGGTGATTCTGTTCTGTCCTTGTCCCAGGCATCCTGCACAAAGGGAACGGGGAGAACCAGTTTGTGTCTCAGCAGCCCCCCGTCATCGGGAGCGTCATGGGCAACGGGCGCCGGAGAAGCATCTCTTGCCCCAGCTGCAATGGCCTTGCTGACGGCAACAAGCTCCTGGCCCCGGTGGCCCTCACCTGTGGCTCTGACGGGAGCCTCTACGTGGGTGATTTCAACTATATTCGAAGGATCTTCCCCTCTGGGAACGTCACCAACATCCTGGAGTTGAGGTGTGTACCGTGATGGCCACTTTGCGGTTTCCGACAGGTCCCTCTGCCGTCCTGTGGGCCCCACTGTGTCACCCACTGAGCCCCCCTGTCAGACGGGACTTTCCCCTTCCCAGGTCAAGCAGGCGCTGCTTCCCGGGCACACCGCACTGAAGACAAGCCACCATCGGGACAGTGAGATGTCCCCGGCATCCAGATGACACAGAAGGGTGCTAGCAGCCGAAAGTTAGACTCCTTGGAAACTTCTTTGTGTTTCCTAGCCTAGACTGATGACAATTAATCACATGAGTCTTTTTTAAGAACAAGGCAGAGCCTAATGGACAAGGCCCCCATGGCAGTATTCTCGGGTTGGCCCTATTACCCACCACTCATCAGTTAGGAGCCTTCGACTGCCCAGTACTGAGATGAGGGCCACAGGCTGAAACCGGGCACACGTCTCTGCTCCTAAGGTGCCGCAGGACGGCTGGACTCAGCCTTTCCCCCATCCTGGCCCCTGTGATGGGGCACAGCTACGCTTGGAGCTCAGGGAAGGACCTGGGGTGTTGGATTTTTCTCTAGACCTCCCTAAACCAGATCATTTTAGAGCCAGAGCACTGTCCTAGGGTGGGCTCTGGGTCACGGAGAAGCTCTGCTTTAGAGATGGGGCGGCCCCACCCTCCCTTTCAGGAGACGTTGCACTGAGCTCCATCACAGTTATGTTAGGGAGTGGGATCCGCCAGCCTCCTGGGCTCGGCTCCAGGTGAGCAGGACAGGCCCTTGTGCTGGAAAGCCTTTCTCAGGGTGGGCACGGGAAAGGACACTCACTTTTGTTGGGCTCCTGCTATTTGCCAAGCGTGACAGTTCCGTGAGGTGTTTATTTAATCTCCCTTTGACAAATGAGAAGATGGAGGCTCAGGAAATTAAAGAACCTGCCCAAGGTCCAATTTCTAGAATGGTGGACTCAAATGTAGAAGGCCATTACACAGCTCTGCCTGGCCAAAAAATTGTCACCTGGCCTAATGAGGGCCACTGCAACTTAATATCTTGCTGAGTTATTCCCTGGAGGTAAGTCCCTACTGAAGGAATCTCATTCTACAGCGTACATGTGAAAGGGAGTAAGGCTCACTGCCCTACACAGAAGTGTTAGTATCAGCCCAGACCCACGGGGACATGCGGTGGGCTCACAGGAAATCAGATGTCAGGCTGAATGAGAAGTGGGCAACCAATGGAATATTCTCCGCTTTTCTTCTCTGTTATGGGCTTGACTGGCATAGACATCTGTCGAGAAAGGGGGAACCAGTGAGTGTATTTGCTTCAGTCAGCTGCATATATGGACTACAATGAAAAAGCCTTGGACTAGAGAGTCAGATCACTTTGGCAGAGAAGCTGTACACCTTTGGACAAATCACTTAACCTCTCTGGGCCTCCATTTTCACATCTTTCAAATAAGAAATCCCATTTTACCTGCCTCCCTCCCGCAAATGTGGGGGAGCTCATGTGAGATAGTGAGCAGGGAAGGGAGAAGTGAAATTTGGGAAGAAAAATCTACTGTGTAAGTAGATCTAGCAGTAAATTATCATTTTGACATATTTTCTTCCAGTCTTTTTTTCCTAGGCCTGTGGCTCTGAGTCATACCCTCCTAATAATAGCACTCCTCCAATTCTGCATATGGTTATAAGGAGGCTCTTGGGAGGTCACTCAGGTTTGGGTAACTCTTTGTAAGGAGGCGTGCGTCCAGACAGAGACACAGAGCGGTCGGCATATGTATCTCTGGGTATGTCTCTGTACAGGGAAGAGAATCGACTATTCCAATCTCTGTCTTAGCCCTTGTTAAAGCAGCAGAACGTGTCAACCTAGTCTCCCCCCCCCCAAGTCAGTGGTAGTGGTACAGGTGAAATCATGCCTCTTCTGTGATATGTAGCTGCTTGTAAGTGAACTCACTGACAAGTAATATCCAATAGAAAATACATCAGTGTCATAGCTGCTAAGTCTTTATTTATTATAGTATTGTGCAGTACCACTGCTGTCAAGTTTTCAGGCTGCTAATAATGCTTCTAACCCTGCTGCTAACACCTCATTCTTTCTTCTATTCCCTGCTCTCCTGTCTTCTGTCAGAAATAAAGATTTCAGACATAGGTAAGACAACCAGTGGAGAATGTCCTGTCTCTCCCCTGCCTTGTTGCATGCTGTATGGTAAGCTACACGTGTCAATTTCAGATGGCTCCATGGCAAAAGAATTCTGTGTGATGGGAACTGATCGGGGGTAATCAGTTGCAACGAGAGGAAGTCATCAGTAATGACTGGGGGTGGGTGGCAAGAGACTGAACTCCTTGAGTCTGGAGAAAAATGAGGCAGTTACTTTGGTAGTCTGTGGACATGACAGACCGAAGTAATAGGGGAAAGAATTTAAATCTCGAAATAGTAATTTGAATGCCACAGTCTGCTTATCCTTAGAATAAATGAGGATGTCATCCCACCTGTGTTGAGAGACTTTGACGGTCATGATGGGAAGTCATGATGGGAAGTCCTGAGAATGTCTTGATCAGGTGAAGAATCTGGAGAGAGATAGATTTCACATGTGTCCTTCTAGGGGCATTCCAGGTGGTTCAGCTTTGGGATGCCGGGTGACCCTACCAAAAGGCTTGCCAGCAAGGACAGAACAGACCACAGGGACCACCTGCAGAGAGCAGTGAACCAAAGTAGATGGGAAAAAGAATCACTTTCTGCCCCCCAGTTAAAGGCAATCAGGAGACACTAGGAAGCCTGGGTTCCAGCTCTGACTTTAACTGGCACCTGAATATTGGCAAACCCCTTCCTCTCTCTGGGCCTCAGTGTCCCCATCAGTCAATGTCAGAGGTGGATTAAAGAAATTCTAGAATTTTGTCCTCTTCATTCATTAATTGTCTCAGCTGCTCCCAGTAACAGCATCTGGCCCCGCGGCTGGTGACATAATATCATCCTGTGCTGTGATCCCCCAGGGCGGGCTCCTCTCTGCCTTTGCCTTCTCAGCCTCAGTCCAGCCCGCCACGCTGGGTGTGCTCTGTACAGAGACCCCAGATCCACCAGGCATCCTCCCCTGAGGCCCCCTCAGAAAACAAGCATCCTCGCCTCTTCCCAGATCTCTTCCCTAGTCGTGGAGGGCTGTTCAAAGCCTTTCCTTCAGAAGCACATTTTAACTCAAGCCTCCATCAAACCCAGCTACATGTATTATATTAACTCAAGAGCCTTTAACTGCCCCAGGAAATAGGTTGGACAGGACAATATTAAGTATGACATACTTAGCTTTTCCATTATGCACAAAATATTCTGGAGGTTTCTCAAGGTGACAAGCTTTGCTTAAAAGCTGCCATTTATTGAGCATTTTATTTTTTAAAGGAACGGGCACTATGCTCACAGATTAACGTTCTTCATGAAATTTTGTCCTTAAGGTAACCCTTTGAAGTAGGTGTGATTATCTCCATTTATCGGATGAAAACACTGAGGCTCAGAGTAATAAAGTGATTTTCCCAAGATCACTTAACCAAGTGAGTGGTAGAACTGGTATTTGAAGCCTTGTCTATGTGGCTCCCACACTCAAGCTCTTCCTACTGGTTCTGAAAACCAGCAAATCAGACTCTGCCAGGCTGCCACCCAATATGGTTGAAGGACACTCCTTTGCATGAGACACACCTTACTGGAGACAAAAGGAGAATTTTCACTGAGACCACCTCTTGTCCCAAGAGACTTCTGGGCCCCCGGCTCCTTCTGGAAAACTCCCTACAATGTCTAGATAGAGGTAGAGCGAGGCTTGGCTGCAGCCCATAAACCTCATGAATGGTACTCTGAAGTCCTCTAGATTTTATGTCACTTCCAAAAGGACCAAGGTTATGTTTGAGGAACTAGAAAAGAATATGAGTCCTCAGAGATTTCCATGGAAAACTCTAGAAATAGAGCTGTGATCCTACTGTGTGCCCAGCCCTGCTCAGGATACTGGAGATCAGAAATGGATCAGGCATGGTCCCTGTCCTGGAAATGTTCCCTGTGCACACAGCCGGGCCTCAGGTCTCAGGTATAGGCTGTCTTCCATCTCATGCCCTGAAAGCATTTATGATTTGCAGAGTTAGGCCTTGCCACCCAGAGTACAGACAGGCAACATGGACACTCTCTGAGAACTTACCAGAAATGTAGACTCTCAAGTTCCGTACCCTAGAACTACTGAACTGAAGTCTGCATTTTAGCAAGTCTCTAGGTGGTTCATATGCACATTAAAGTTTGAAAAGCACTGCTTTAAGGCTGTGGTTCCCCAATCTGACTGTGTCTCTGAGTTACCTGGAGAGATCTCAAAGGTACAGGTGCCCAGTCCCTTCAGTACTTATGGTTAAGGCCTCTTTTTTTAAAAGCTCTCCAGGTGATTCTGATGTTTAACCATGTTTGAGAACCATCACTCTAAGATTGATAGCAGTGAGCGTATACCCTATATATACCCCAGCCAGAGAGGCTGTTATACATTCATCCAAACATTGAGCAGAACTTTCTGGAGCATTAATTCTGTATCAGCCCAGTATGAAGCACCAGAGACTCGAAGTCAGTCCCTGCCCTTGAAGAGTTCAAGATTTCATTGAGAAGACAGACCACTCAACAGAAAAGTGTCTTAAAGTGCTACAGATACTAAAAATAGAAACTGCTTAGGCTCTAGTGGAGACCCAACAAAGGAAGTCCAAGTTCTGCTAGTGGGGAAGAAGTGGGGTCCAGGAATGGTATTTCGGGAGAGGTGATGCTCCAGCTGAGTCTCAGGGGTGAGCAGTGTCCTGAGCAGCAGTGTGGGCAAGTAGACAGAACACAGACTTTAGAGTGAAGCAGAACTGGGTTGGACTCTGCCCTGCCATTTAGTCAAGTCACTTCACCTCTCTCAGTCTCAGTTTTCTGAGCTATAAGGAAAAAAGGTATTGACCTTGTATAGTAGTTGTGAGGAAAATGAGGCCATGTGTGCCAAGCGCTAGCACAGTGTCCAGGACAGAATCAACTCCGTGGGTGGCGACAGATGCATTCATATCCGTGGCAGTTGTCTCTGCAGCTCTGTTCTGTGGACTGATGGCACTGCAGCCTGGTGGAGGTCCAGGTAGACACCATGGACACTGGGGCAGCTTCCAGCACCAGGTGGCATGAGGAAGAAATGAGCTGAAGAATGTCCAAATTGCTCCACAAACTGGAAAGGGAGGGTGAGGTGTATAATTTCATTTGATCCTAATGATAAACCTATGAGCAGAACAAAGCAGGGACTTCAGATTTGACAGCTGAGGGACCTACAACTTGTACTATTGACTCATCTAAACTGGAACACAAACCCTCCACATTCAAAGCTAGCTGTTCCTTCCCTTATACTTAACTGACCACCAGACCTCAGATTTGTCCTGGGGCACAAAAGATGTGGCCACAGCTCTTATAGACTCTGGGACGATCCTGCCAATGCCACCCTCTCCTGGAATTTACTGATCTGAGAAACTCCACGAGTGACACTTCTCTGAAGCAGTGCAGGGAGACATGAGCTGGTAGAAGCTCAGGGGGCTAATCTAAGTGGACAGGGCCCCCTCGCCATCTCCCTTCAGGGACCATTTTCTGCCAAGGTAGATAGGACCAGCTTATCATGAGTGATGCGCAAAGAAATGAAATAAACACCCCACCTCTCAACTGTCACCAGGAAAGCAGAAATATCAAGGATGCCCCCATACTACACAGCAGGATCTAAGGTCACTGCATTTTATTCAGCCAGAATCAGTGTCATCTGGGAAGATTAAATCTGTGCTACATTATAGGGTAAGTCACAGGGGACATTTCAAGATGAACAAGATATGTCCTGTTACCGCCACCCCCAGAAGAGAAGTAAAAGAAAAGCTAAGTAATTTGAATGAAAACACTACCTAAATAATCTAAAGATGGTGATGCCATCTATTTAAAACAAATGGCAGCTATGGGCTAGATGCCATGAAGCCGAACATTGGAAAAACAAAAATGAATGAAATCCTTTCTCTTCCCTTCAAGTATTGACAGGCAGGTTTGGGAGGCACACACGTAAACAAACAGCCACAGCCTATGTCAAGTGTCCTATAATCCACATATGAGCAGATACGAATCTCTGTGCACAGAGAAGAAAGGTTGGGGAAGGTTTGCCAGAAGAGGGACCACTGGGCTGACAGGCGAAGAGTGAGTAGGAGAGGGAAGGGGCAGGGCGTTCTGCAGAGCAGGAGTGGCAAGTGCAAGCAGGCATAAGGCATGTTGGGGGGACAGGAGGTCAGTGTGGCCGGAATGGCATTCTGTGAGGGAAGGGCTTCAGAGAGGCTGGGAGGATGGAGCAGCACAGCAGAGAGGGGCTTATGTGCTGCTCAGCTAGGGGGGGGGGGTCTCAGAAGGGACAGCATTGACATGGCAGGTTGGTATTTGGGTTAGATCTGGAAGGATGGCTTGAAGAGGACCCACTACAGACAGACTTAACCTTGGTTTGAGAAGGAAGTGACAGGGCAGTAGTTTTAGGGCTAGAGAAAGGGAGGACACTTGGCGAAGACTGTGTCAGGTTAGCTGAGTTCGGGGAGAGCCTTACATCTGGACGCCTGGCCCTGTTAGAAGCGGCCAGTCCCCAAATACACTGTCCAAAGCAAAGGATGTTTATAATGACAAACAGGGCCAGATTAAGACCTTTAGTGACCTACACACTGACAAGATTATGGTGCTCCAACCTTCACATGGAATTCAGAAAACACCAGTGTGTAAAATAAAATTTTGTTTTTCAATAGAACCCCAAATTTACATGCCTGATAAATGCAAAATAGCTTCTTTCTAGACTATTCTGATTCTCTTGCTTGTGTCTTAAAAGGGTCTGCAGTGCCCTGGTCTTGCTGGTGCTCTCATCACAGCTTAGGCTGTCCCTGAGTCCCCTAGCACAGTCTGTACCCTACCATGCAGTGAGAATGGCCAGTGCCAGGCAACCCAGTCTGAACAGAGAGAGAGAGAGAGAGAGACTCCTTTGAATGAAAACACTTTCCAGAGACTTGAAAGGGGCTGCCCAAATTGAGATGCAGTTTGAGGGACTGGTAGGTGATCAAACCAAGCACAGGAACTCAAAATTAGCTTCCCAAGAGCAATGAATCCAACTTCAATGTGCCCTAGACTTGAAAGAAATTTTATATCAGTACCATGGAATAGCAAAATTCAGGCTAAGGGATACCTATTCTGTAGTTATATCCAAATGCAAGAACAGATGCAATCACTGATAATTAAAATAACAGTTATTATTTTTGAGCACCTACTATGGGCCATGCACTGTGCTAAATACTTTGCATTTATGATTTTACATAATTTTCCTAATACACCAGCAAGGTAGCTGTTAATACCTCCATTTTGCAGATGAAGAAAAGTTGAGACTCAGAAGGTCAGATAACTTGCCCAAGTTTCTAGAACCCCGAGCTAGACTTGAAACCCAGACTGACCTAATTCCAAATCCTGTGTAGTTTTCCCACCCTGTGGCTAGAGGTGGTACCTTGTCTCCTTAATGCCTCTATATAGTCTCACTTCTCTGTCCTCTGTTAGCATAGCCTTGTCTTTGTGACTGCCTTCCAGAAACAGAACTATTATCCCCACTGCTCTTCCATGTTGTTTATTTTCCTTGGGTCTGCTGCAAATCACAAACTAATCCTGCAATTCATTTATATCTGACTGCAGGAGGGAGATCCCTGGGCTCCTGATAAGTATAACATGAGTATCAACAGAAGATAGCGCTGACACTGACTAGAAGTCAAATCTAGCCAGGGTCTTATCCATCAATCCTGAGATAGGGGTGGAGGGTTGCTGTAAAAATCCTACGGAAAAGGGCTTGTGTGTTTGAACTCTTGAAGTGTTTTTTAAAGTCAAGCACCTCCATGTTTCTAGCTTGAATTAACAGGCCACCTATGTAAGCTTCACTGATAATCTTTGTAAGAAGACATGTATCTAGCACCTGCATGATACATGTAGGCACTGGGCTGGTTTTTGCATTAATTATGTCTTTGCATTGATAATGGTTGGGAGGGATAGTTAGGCCAATCACTAAGGTCAGAAAAATTGGGGAACTAGTACCCCAGATAGGGACATCATCCCTGTAAGACACTTGCTTGGATTCTAAAGAGCCAGAGATTCAAGTTGTACATCTCTAGCTACCTCATAGATAAGAAGAAGGTGCTCACAAATTGGCCATGTCTTTGTTTTCCAGTCATAGCCCAGCGCATAAGTACTACCTGACCACAGACCCCATGAGCGGGGCTGTCTTCCTTTCTGACACCAACAGCCGGCGGGTCTTTAAGATCAAGTCCACCGTGGTGGTGAAGGACCTCGTCAAGAACTCTGAGGTGGTTGCAGGGACAGGTGACCAGTGCCTCCCTTTTGATGACACTCGCTGCGGGGATGGTGGGAAGGCCACGGAAGCCACACTCACCAACCCCAGGGGTAAGGTCTTGCTTTATAAAACTATCAAGAACATTTATTAGGAGTATTTTCCATTTCCAAAATAAATGTTTAATATTACAAAAATGTTTAGAAAATACCAAGAAATATGTGGAGGAAAGTTAAAATTGTGATAATTCCACCATCAAAAAAATATTCCCAGTTAACATTTCCTGTCTTTCTTCCTAGTCTTTTTGCTAAGTGTTTGTGTGTGTGTGTGTGTGTGTGTGTGTGTGTGTGTGTGTAATGTTTGCTACAATAAAAACAAAATGAGATCTCATTAAACAAACTGCTTTAGTAACCTGCTTTTTTCCCTTAAATGATGTATCATGAACATTTCTACATATCATTCAATAGTTGCTATGCATTCATTTTATTGTATTTTATTTTTGAGACAGGGTCTCACTCTGTTGCCCCAAGTAGAGTACAGTGGCGTCGTCATAGCTCACTGCAACCTCCAACTCCTGGGCTTGAGCCATCCTCCCACCTCAGCCTCCCAGAATGCTAGGATGACAGGGATGAACCACCACACCTGGCCTGTGCATTCATTTTAAATGGCTATGTAGTATTCCAACAACTGGATGTCTCATAGTTTGTCAATACCCTACAATTGGACATTTATGCTATCTCTTATTTATTGTTGTACAGAAACATTATGGTATACCATCTTTGCTTACGTTCATGTGTTATAGGGTGGTTTAACTACAGGTTTCAGTTTTGAGCCCTGCAAAAAGTTGAATCTCTAAATGCCTACAATCACAATTTTTCATTCACTTATTCATTAAGTGTGTATTGAGTACACAGAGCACTGTGGTTGCATGCATAAGTTCATTGTAGCAGAGTAAGATTGGATGTGAATCACTCTGATATGGGAGAAAGGGAGAAGTGCTCCCCAGGGTACAAGAAGAGGGAGCTGTGCATGGGGGTTTAGAGCTGAGAGAGACCCCTGTGCCTTATAGACCGGAAAGCAGGGGTCCTCAAACTTTTAAAACAGGGGGCCAGTTCACTGTCCTCAGACCGCTGGAGGGCCATTGGAGAGTGCAGCGCACATTCCACACATGCGCACTGTGGGCCCGGGACGAGTTGGCTGCTAAGCAGGACAGGCAGCTGCGGCAAAAACACCCGGCGGGCCAGGCCGGATAAATGTCCTCAGCGGGCCGCATGTGGCCCACGGGCCGTAGTTTGAGGCCACCAGCCGGAAAGGCTTTTTGGAGAAGCCATCGTGATTAACAGACATCCTTCAGTGGGGTGTTGTATTGCAAACCCAACAGCCAGTGGCCTACGGTGTCTAAGCCTCAGGTCCTCATTGATAGAATGGGGCATACTGTCTATGTCCATCTCCCAGGATTATTCTGATAGTCAAAACATATTTCATATGATATCTGATAAAATTGTAATAAGTGATGATATTATTAAATAGTGCCAGATTTCAGGGTCTAGATTCAAATCAAAGCAGTGGACTCTAGTGAAATCAGGCATTCAAATTCAGATTTTGTCATTTAGTAGCTGTGCAATTTTAGGGGAGCTGCTTAACCTCTCTGAGCCTCATTTTCCTTATCTATGTAACAGGGATACTCTGTTCAGTTGTAGTACAGATTAAATATTCTTAGGAATATAAATGCTTTGTACAGTAGTACCACACACAAGGTAAACATCCCATAAATGGTGATTCCTATTGTTTTTGTTATATTGTATTATATAATATATCGTATCATATATCATATGATCATATATTATGTCTACCACATAACTGGTGAGGATAGCTCTGTTGTGTGAGTATTGTGTCAACAAAGGTTAATGCCCTCCTATTTATGATTTCCTAATTTCCAACTGAGATAGCAGTTGGAAGTGGAAAGAACACCAGGCTTGCACTTAGGTACCCTGCATTATGATTTTTCTCTGCCATTGGCTGGCTCTAGGACCTGCTCACCTGGGCCTCAGTTTCCCCATTGGTAAATGAGCAAGTTGGACTAAATGATCCCCAAGACCTCTTTTAGCCACAACATTCTTACTCTCTTAGATTTAAAATAGTTTTTTTCTGAGACTCTTTATTCTCTCCAGGCCTTTTTCGGTTGCTCTACATGCATGTGTATGCTCTCCCCATCCCCCCACCCCCCACACTCACACAGATGTAGTGGCAGTGCATTTGCCCAAAAGCCTGCAATTAACCCAGATAGAAATGACAAGGGTGTCACAATATGCAGACACTTTGCAGCAGGGAGGAGAAAAGATGTCCATCTATTTAGCACAACAAAAGGAGGGAAAATGAAGTAATTAATCAGAGGACAGATCACTTCTATTAGCCTGTGCAGCCAACTCTGTAAACAAGAAACCCGATTATTCATGGAGCACTCATCAGTTCTAGCAGATGGAAGAGAAAGACTGGGCAGACAAGAAAACTCCTGTCTTGGTACTTAAAGAATGAAATTCATTTCCATTCTAGGCAGGGCCACAAGAAAGGCTTCCCAGCCTTGAGGCTGCCTAGTCCTCTGTGTCAAATCTCTCTCCAGACTGAGCCGCCTGAGGAGGGGTGGAAGGAACAGCTGGTGCTCCCGAGGCCCTGGGTGTCTCAGACCACCCTGCTGTCCAGCCAGAGATGCCTGGGCCCTGGGAGCAAGGCCTTGAGACCCACCAAGTGCTGGCCACGTTCTCATAATTAGAGTAGTCCTTAATAATTATTGAGGGCTATTACAAGCCCCCATGTTATCAGTGAGGAGACTGAGACTTAGAAGTGGTGTCCCCAAGGTAATACAACTAGGAAGCTTTATAATCCAGAGTCTCCACCTCGCTGAAGCCTTTCTGACCCCTTCCTCCCATGACTTCCCCAGAGAAAAAGGAACAGAACAAAAGTCACCAAAATCCCCTTTATTTCACCACGACCCTCTCGGGGGTCTGTCATTTCCTGTGGAGCATCACATGGTCCTGATTTGCTCCTGTGCCTTCCCAACTAGAGCGGCTGCTCCTGGGGGCACGGCTCAGCTGTACACCTGAACAGTTCATGGTTCAGTAGGGGCGTGTCTGACGCGTGTGATTCAAAACCTGGGGTGGAAATTAACGTCACCCACCCAGGAACATTTCTAAAACATGCCCTGGTCCCAATCCCAGCCACCTCCCGAGTTAGTATTTCCAGGAGTGAGGTCCAGCAGGTGTATATTAAAAAAAGATCTTCAGGTGATTCTGATGCGTGTCACTGGCTAAGAAATAATAATGGAGTGGGGTGGTTCTCAGGCTTTGGTCTGTTCATTGTCACCCAAGGTGCTTGTCAAAAATGCAGATAGATGCTCAGGCTCCACTTGAGAGAACTGAAGCAGCTACCTGGGGGGTGCACTTTAGCAAAGCTCCTCAGGTGATTCTCACACACATCCTAGAGTGAGAAATACAGATTTAGAACAATCCTGTTGTTTGGCAGCTGAGAAAACAAATGCAGAGATGCCCAGGGACTTGCCCACGGTCACTCAAGCTGGGCCAGGGAGAAAGTGAATGGGGTGAGATGATCTGGTGAACACAGCAGATGATGTTGAGTGAGAATTCTGACTCCTGTCTTCAGGAGAGCTTCTTTAGAAATTAAATTCAACAATATTCTCTACACAAATCCATAGGATTCATTTTACAGTCTATACTTTTGTAATGACCAATGAAACTAAAATAATAAGCATAGAAAAACATGAAGGACAATTATCTTGAAAGAAAAGGATTATTATGAAAAAGGAGATTCAGTTATTATAATTACAGGGCTTCAGAAGTAGGTTATTTTAAATAATTCACAGTGTTGATATTGAAAAAGATTCTCCTTGCCACTAGCTCTAGAGCTCACAAAACCCCAGACGTTATGAGTCCGGTTTTAGTGGGTGGCTAAGGAGGTAGATAATCTCCGGAGGCAGCAAGGTGGGAGGACCAGAGCCCTGGAAGATCTGAAAACCCGTGTTTCCATCCCTGCTCTGAGCAAGTCACTCAAAGCCTCTGAGCCTCAGTGTCCTCACCTTTAAAAGGGATGAAGGTTGTGGGAGGGTCAGATCAGTCATGTATGAAGGTGCTTTGTCAGCTAGCAAGGCTCCTGAAAGTGCCGGGCCTTATCATCTCTTAACGCTGAATTCCCTGCTTTGGCCTCTCCGTCCCCAGGCATTACGGTGGACAAGTTCGGGCTGATCTACTTCGTGGATGGCACCATGATCAGACGCATTGATCAGAATGGGATCATCTCCACCCTGCTGGGCTCCAATGATCTGACGTCGGCCCGGCCCCTCAGCTGTGATTCTGTCATGGATATTTCTCAGGTAAGGAGGAGGCTTCGTCTGCCAGAGCCCTGGGCCGGTCCTCTCCTCTGCTGCCCGGACAGCCCACTGGCAGTTCATCGTTGCATGGAACCAGCCTGTGAGGACACTCCCTTGGTGCTGGGCCCGTGATGGGCACGACACAGCCATGCCCTGGGAGTTCACCATCGGGGTAACAATGTGTGGCCATAGTGGAGGCTCAGGGGCCTGAACTTCCTCTTTGGTAACACCAACACGTACTTGTACATTGTTCTCTTTCTAGACTGGGAGCTACATGAGGACAGAAATTCTGTCAGTCTTTTCCTCTGCTGTAACCAGGGTGACTGGCAACAGTAGGAGCTCAGCCCATATTTGTTGATTGATTAATTGATTAATCAATTGATTGAATCCTAGCTTTGTCAATCACTAGCTCAGTAACTTTAGTCAAGTTTCTGAAGTCTTTTGAGCCTCATTTTTCCTATCTGTAAAATGGAAATAATTCACGTCATCCTGGGAGGATGGCCTTGAGAATACATGAAACGATGAGTACAAGGCTCCTAGCACGGCTTGGCTATTCAGAGGTGATGTAGAAACAAACGTTCTAGTGCCCATGTTCACAAAGGAGGTGACATTTGTGCCAGGTTTTAAAGGTAGTACAGGGGTTTTCTGAATGGCAAAAGAGAAAAGGAGACATTTCACACAAAGGAGATGGCATATGCAAAGGCACAAAGATGTTAATGAACCTGTACATTCAAAGAACATGGAAAATCGAATAGCAGAGCATAGGGTACTTGAAAGAAAGTGGCAGAAGCTGCAACAGGAAGCATGGGTTGGGGCCAGTTAGGGAAAGACCTTGCCATTCCACTCCAAAGAGCTTGGACCTCAGCGGGCAGACACCAGTACAGGTCAGAGACACGAGAGACTGGCTGTGAGTACATTCTGTGATGACTTGGCAAGGGACGTGTCCTCTATTGCTAGATCCCTTGGCAGAGCCTGGCCTGTGCTGAATCTTGCCAACATTACCAAAACCTGGGAAATCAGGAGCATTGAATTATATCAAATTATAAATTGATTTCAGCTCCAGCAGCACTTAGCTTTTTAAACCCCTTCACATTTAGGGGGGCCTGTACATGCATGCCCTTTTCCGCTGGCTGTGGCACCTGCCCTAGTCTCGCTGGCCATGCCTGCTTCTGTTACTGACATGTGTCACTGAGCCTTTCCGCAGGGCCCCATGGCTGCTGCTGGCAGTCCCAGCACATGTCACATCTCTGTCGCATGCTGGGGTGGTTTCCCTCTGCGCCAACTAATGTGATTGTTACACTCCAGAATGGAATCTGTTCTCTGCCACTCGTCTTTGCAATTTGGCAGGCTTCCCCTTGCTGGCTCGAGACTTTCCCTCTCTGGTCTGTGAGCAAGCTTGAATTACCCATCAGCAAGCTGCTATGGCCTAAGGATGTGCATGCAAGTATTTTCAGTTCTCAACCAGCCAGCATAGGGTGCCGAAAATTTTCAGTGCACACATTGGAAAATTGTTTAACTTCAGATAGAGGTGCTGCCAAGCAGCCAGATCAAAGGCTTGGAAGACAACTGGCATAGAGTGGAGGGGGTGAAAAACCCACACTTAGATTCAGAAATCCTGGACTGAAATCGCTATACTCCCGGCCCTCACTCCCTTTGTCTGAATCATGGCATGGGAGATTTTTTTTTTAATTATCAAACGCTCCAACAGCAGGCATATATTTTTACATATACACATGGGCAGAGGGTACTGGCTTTCATTCTCAGAGCTTCCTCTGTCACCAATACTCAGATACTTTGCTGCCTCATGGGAGCAGGGGCGTAAGCCAGAGAGAGAAGAGCACAGCTCAGAGGCAAGAGTGCAAAGGGGAGAACCGAGGAAGCTTGGTCTCCTTCCAGAGACCAGGCACAGAAAGAAACCAGAGGGAGGCAAGAGTAGAGAAGGAACAGAAGGTACTGCAGCCTGTTAAGAACAGGAGATCAGTTCTCAGCTCAGCAGGGTATGGCCACCACAGAGAGAGTATAACTCTGTACCTAGGGTCCCAAATAAGAACGTACTAGGCCAGGCTCTCTGTTAGAAATGGGGATTTAGAGATGAGTACCACTTCTCTTTTCTTATTGTGTGGTCACAATAATCCCATAGGGTAGATATTATGTACCCCATTTTATAGATAAGAAAACAGAGGCTTGGCAAAAGAAAATGCATTTATAAATATAGAGCCCTGTACCAGGTTCCATCACGGATGTAGAAAAGAATTTTTTTTAATGAAATCATGTACACAAATTGCCTAGCACAGTGCCCACCTACTAGTAAGGAATAGGATGGAAACATGCCCCTTTATAATCTATTAATACAAAGAACCTCCTTGTATATTGTCTCATTTTATCCTCACAACTACCCTATGTAATATGTATTATCCCCTTTTATACAGGGGGAAAGAAGTTCAGTGTTTAAGAAACTTGAATAATTTGCCATGTGGTAATTATGGAAGTGGCATAGAAAATGAGGTGTCCTGGTCCCAATTTGTCATTCTCTCTATGCCATTCCCTGTTTATTCATTCATTCATTCATCCGACAATCCGTTCTGTGCTAGGACCATAAAACGTGGGAGGTGGAGGACTTCTGATGTTGTAATGTCTAGCCCCTCCATTCTGGTGAAGGAAGTTAAGCCTTGGCACAATCATTACCAACAGGCAGCGTGACAGACCAACGCCTGGAGCAGTGCCCCTGCGCCCTCCCCAGGCTCCTCTGTGCACTTGGCATAAGGGGAGAGTGTAGGAAAGCACTTGTTCTTCATTCCTTCCTCTCCCCTCGCCCTCCACTGACTCTGTCTCCCCCACCCCATCCATCAGGAGCCATCTCTTCACCATAATGACAGATAGAGAGGTCTCTTCAAGCAGTTCCCCAAGGTGCCACAGGACCAGAGGGCATAAAATATTTAGCAGCCAGCGTTGACAAGAAATGGGTTTTAGGAAATTGAAAATCCCCCTGTCACTTTAGAGCAAACTGTGTTCTTAATGCAGCCTGAAAGCTGCCCAGACGCTGTGCTGCAGAGAGCAGGGGAGTGTGAAGCAGCAGCCCTGGCGGCCACCCTGCCGCAGCTCCCTGGCTCCGTGACTCAGGGACCCCGACTGGGAGTGAGGGAGCAAGGAGGTGTTAGGAGGCAGGACTTGAGGACAGAGCTCTGAAGAACTGAGAATGGCCTACCCCGGCCTGAGTGGCCCTGAGCTGAGAGGGGCAAGAGGAGGTGGCCTCATCTCATGTGTATATGATTTATTGGGGTTTCTTTTTACATTGGAAAATACCACCTTTACATTGTAAGAAATATAAGTTAGAAATCACAAAGAAGAAAATTAAAATTACCTTTAATTCCAGGATGGTTAACATTTTGGTATATATCCCTTAAGCTTTTAATCCTCTTTTTGTCCATAATCTATTCTAAACTTTTTGTGTTTTTTCTCCACTTGGTATCACATTGTGCTTATAACCTGTCCTCTTCACTTAATACATAGCAAACATTTTCCCATGTCATTAAATACCCATCTATAGCATCACATTTAACAACTACACACAGCATTCTAACTTACAGTTGAACTAAATGTACTATTATTTAGCTAATTCTTGGTTGTTGGGCATTTGCGTGGGTTCCAGTTTTTTTACCATTATCAAAAATGGCTGTGATAAAAAGCACTCTTGCAGACAATGGTGTACAAGAGCAAATTCCTGGAAGAGAAACTTCTTTTCTCTTGCTTAAGTATACACTTGCTCAAGTAAGCCCCAAGGTGGACCAAATATCGAGGCTTTGTAGGGGTGATGAGTCTTTAGGTGGGGTAGAAAAACCAGCACAAGGATGCACCTGTTGGCAATCCTGGCTCACACGCAGCATGGCTGGACCTCTGAGGGACACAATCAGCAAAGGGCTCCCCTTAGTGCCAGCACCTCCCAGTGTGACATATCCAACAACCCAGCCTCTACAGCACTGAACGCGGCTTTCCTCACTCAGACCCTGCCAGCTGCAATCCCCGGGAGCCGCTTGAAGGCTCACCGCGATCCCTGCCCATTTCCCTGCCTGGCTCACAGGAGGCTACCTTAGCACCCAGGAACTCTGAACTGCTGGTGCACGCAGACAGCTGCCATCATCTCTTCCAGGAGGACCTCTTCTTTGAGATACAGAAACCATTATCTAGAGCAGGGCTGCACTAGTGTCAGTGTGCACAGAAATCATCTGGGGATTTTGCTTAAATGCTAGGCTTCCAGAGAACCCTGCCATTCTGCTCTCTGACCAGTGCCTGCATTGCCAACACTGCTCTGTCTGATCATCACACCATAAAGATGAGGATCCAGCCGTGATTCCCAACCCCACATTAGAATCACCAGGAAGATTTCCAAAGTAATGCCAGTGCCCGAGCCCCACACCCACGGATTTGACTTAACTGATGAAGGGTGGGATTTGTGCACCAATATTTTCTAAAATCTCCACAAATAAGTTGAATGTGAAGCCAGATTTGAGAATCACTGGTCTACAACTATGGTCCAGCAGTGGCTATGGTTATTTTGTCTTTATATTGCTGGCACCTGGCCAGTTCATTAACCCATGAATTCGAACTGAGAGATCATCTTCCGTACATGTACCATACCCACCATTCACAAAGAGTCTTCCCTAAGCCTCTGAACAACTCCTACTTCTGCCTCCAGACTCCCTCTGCCCTGCCCTCCCACCTCTAGAACATCGGCTGCCCTTGTTTGAGAGCTTACAGTGGGTCAGGCACTCTGTATTGCTGTCACCCCTATTTTCCAGATGTGAATGTAGAGGCTCAGAGTGGCCAAGTAACTTGCCCATGGTCATAAGTGGTGGACTAGGAGCTGAACCCAGGCCTATCTAACTCCAAAGTCTGTCCACTTGCCTGCTGTCTTGTTGTTGTTGTCATTATCCCTTCTTCATGCTTTGTCCGTCTAACGGAGACCCTCAGATGTCTCAGTGGCAGCTGTGTCATGGTTTCACTCTGACCGGGGGCTGACACTTCAGTGTTGATAACAGGCTGCATGAGGATCAAGCAAGACTGTATGAAGGCAGTGTGTTACAAGCTGTATGGGATGTGGGATGATTAGTGGTGGGCATCTTGCCAGTCGTTTGAGTGTTGGTGTCTTCATTGGCAGGTTCGCCTGGAGTGGCCCACAGACTTAGCCATCAACCCAATGGACAACTCACTTTATGTCCTTGACAACAACGTGGTCCTGCAAATCTCTGAAAACCACCAGGTACGCATTGTCGCCGGGAGGCCCATGCACTGCCAGGTCCCCGGCATTGACCACTTTTTGCTGAGCAAGGTGGCCATCCACGCAACCCTGGAGTCAGCCACCGCTCTGGCTGTTTCACACAATGGGGTGCTGTATATTGCCGAGACTGATGAGAAAAAGATCAACCGCATCAGGCAGGTCACCACTAGTGGAGAGATCTCACTCGTCGCTGGGGCCCCCAGTGGCTGTGATTGTAAAAACGATGCCAACTGTGATTGTTTCTCTGGAGACGATGGTTATGCCAAGGATGCAAAGCTGAATACCCCCTCTTCCTTGGCCGTGTGTGCGGATGGGGAGCTCTATGTGGCTGACCTTGGGAATATCCGAATTCGGTTTATCCGAAAGAACAGGCCTTTCCTCAACACCCAGAACATGTATGAGCTGTCCTCACCAATCGACCAGGAGCTCTACCTGTTTGATACCAGTGGCAAGCACCTGTACACCCAGAGTCTTCCCACAGGAGACTACCTGTACAACTTCACCTACACCGGGGATGGTGACGTCACACTCATCACAGACAACAACGGCAACATGGTTAACGTCCGCCGAGACTCTACCGGGATGCCCCTCTGGCTGGTGGTCCCAGATGGCCAGGTATACTGGGTGACCATGGGCACCAACAGTGCGCTCAAGAGTGTGACCACACAAGGACACGAGTTGGCCATGATGACATACCATGGCAACTCCGGCCTTCTGGCAACCAAAAGCAATGAAAACGGATGGACTACATTTTACGAGTAAGTATCCAGACAAGACCATCTGATGGTTTTGTTTCATTAAGTGCATTGTAGGATCAGAGATAAACTGATGGGGTGTTAATTAGGGGGTGTATTTCATTTCGATTCATGATTTGGGATACAAACCATTACATGTGATAAATTCTGTATGTTCTTATTCCAGATGATTTCTCCTAGGAAGGAAATGGTGTAGTAGAAGGGCATGAGCTTTGGAGTCAGAGGAGTTGGACTTCAATCCAGCTCTACCATGGACTTAATCTCTCTAGTCCTCAGTTTCCACATCTATAAAATGGGCACAGTGGATACCTGCCCAGCATACCACAGGGAGATGATGTAGATGAAAAGTACTTGATGAAGTGCTAGCATTTTCATATGACCACTGTCTACAAGTATGGCAAGGGGAGAAGGAATGGTCCCATGTGGGTGAATTTTCCACATAATTGAAGCTCATGTCTTTAAGTTCCAAAAAAAATTTCCACTTTAACCATTTTGGGTGGAATTCCTTATGAAGTGTGTTACATGCTTCCCTTCTCAAACATATTACACTGACATAATGAAACCTTTCTTTTCATGAGTTAGTCATTGATAAGGAACAACAATAATTGCCTATTATGCTGCAGTATGAAGACAGCTTCCAGGAAGTGGGGAAATGAGGATACAGACCCCTTCGCCCCTGCCTGCAGTGATTTAAACTATTCTTTTCTTAGCTCCTGATCTCAAGGGCACAGTTTCCTCCCTCAGGGTGGCGCTCATGTCACCATCTGTCCCAGACGTAGTGCTCATCTCACTAGCTCCCTCCCCTGCTTTTGATCCTAGAGAGCTTCTTACAGGGTATGGCCAGAGAACCAGAAGTCCAGCTTATTATGACTCTAGCCCAAATCAAATATATGTCTAAGGTGTTTCTCTATAAGATATTTTAACGAATGGACTAACATCTCTTTTTCTGTGTAAATTTTTAAGCGTCTCTTTGAGATCTTAGCCACGTTCCAGACAACTAAGACTGCTGAATATGTCAGCATTAGATAAGAATGCGAGAGATGGGGCAGGAACTAGCCTTGTTGAGCATCAGCTGTGAGCTAGGAACTGCATCATTGCATTTAATCCTCACAACAGCTCTGGAAGATGGGCGATATTATCTGTTTTATTGAGAAACTGGGGCCCAGAGAGGCTTCTTTGCCCACCATTTGATAGTGAGAACATGGCAGAACTAGGGTTACACACAAGTCTGTCTGATGCCAGAGCTCATGCTTTTTCAGCTCTGCCCTGCTGCCCTTCCCCGCCCCAGTTGAGTTTCTTAATTCCCAATGAACTTGACTCCTTGAACCCTAAGTTTTTCTCAAGCTTGATCAAGCATCAGTTTCTCACAGTCCTAGTAGAATCCAAAGGAAAAGAATCTGTAATCGATTTTTAAATATAATTTGCACAAAAAATGTCACAGGAATTTGTACAAAGTTCACTGGCTAAATTCCTTTCTTCAAATAAGGACCTTGTTAATTACAAAGAAAAGACAAAGATCCAGGGAAACAACAATTATCTTGATTAACTCATTGAAATGGAAATACACTAAATAATTCAATTTTCCCCCTTGCTCGATGGAAATCTCTTATACGTTATTTAGCCAGTACAGGGGTTTCTTTGTCAGAGCAAGTCTGTGCACTCAATTAATTCCCGAGGTCACTCCCTCAGATCCCAAAATAAACACTTACACATCACTGCAACCGCTACTCTCTTCCACCCCTGAAATCTAAGACCGTTTCCTACACTTCTATCAGAGAGGATCTCTCTCTCTCTTTACTTGATGAAATACACAGCCATAGTTGAGGTTTTATGAAGAAGGAACGTTACTACAATTGCTCTTTATAAAATGCCATTTGGAATCCCAAAGAATCAACTTCACAGTACCCAGGAGGAGCACTGATCCTTGCTGACACAAACCAGAAATGGAAGAGAAAAGCCTTAAATTAGAAAGGAAAACTAGGGTTTTTTTTTAGATCCTACTATGTGCCAGGCTCTTTCCCATTTAGTCTTCACGGCAACCTTAGATGATAGGGATTGTCATGCACATTTTTTACATATGAACAAACTGAAGCACAGAAAGATTCGGTAACAAGTGTAAAATCACACAGTGAATATATAGCAGAGCCAGAACACAGGTCTGCATTCTTTCACCTGCACAGCGAGGTTCACCTATGTTCTTGCTGACTTGTCTGTATGATAAGGATTAAAAATAGTATCTATTTCATAGGGATAGTCTGAGGTTCAAAATTTCGATGAGCTAAAACATGGAAAGCTCAATGTCTGACCCATCCTAAGCACTCATGTGACAGCTGCTGCTGCTATTAGTTCAAGTAATATTAGTGGCAGTACCGGTCATTGCAGAAGTGTTATCTGGGTGTGAAAGGTATTCTCCAGAAGCAGATGCAAGTAAACTAATGAAAGGAGCAGACACAAGCTTTAATCAGGGTAGGTAGGAATCAGAGGTCAGGCAAGAAGAGCAGAATCAAGTGTCAAGTAGGAGAGATCAAGATATGAACCAGGAAAGAAGTCAGATCCCTGAGAATATCCAAAACGGGCTGGGAAATGGCATTTAGAGTGGCCTGAGGCAAAATGGTTCAGCCCAGACTGGGAACAAGCGATAGTACCAGATACTGTTTTCACAGGATGTTAGCTGTGTGACTCAGGGTCAGGCCAGCTGGCTTCCAGACCCAGGTGTCAACCAGACAGAAATAATCCCATTTCTGGGCCATCATGAGGATCAAAAAACTAAATAAATACCAAAAATAAAAATACTTTGAAAACTAGAAGCTCCGTAGAAGTAAGGGTGTGGTGTATGTACCATTATGGTGTGTCTTACTTAATGAAGATTTCGACAGATTTTGCCAATGAACCATTGCTCCAGTGAATTTTCTACCTGTAGCTCCATTAGGTAGCTCAGTGCTGCAGTCCCCAACCTGCCAGCCATGCATCACCTCCTGAGCTCCACACTTCTCTACCTGCCCCCCAGCCCCACCCCAGTCAGTGGAAAAAGTGTCTTCCATGAAATCAGTCCCTGGTGCCAAAAAGGTTGGGGACCACTGGCTTAGTGGATTCCAACCCAAATATTCTATTAATGAAATTTTTTACAAAACAGCCCAGGCTTGCCTATGACATGGGCTATTATTGAAACAAGTTGTAGTTGGCTTTATCGATCCTCTTAAGAGATTAAATAATACATCTTACATAACATCATACACTTCAGAGCAATTTGACTTGAAGAGTTCACAGTTCTAGAGAATCAAGGTTACTTTCCTCCCCTCAGCCCACAGGTCTGCTGGTAGAAAACCTCAAAGGAGTCAGAAATGCCATCCTCATCTCCAGCGTGTGGCATCATTATTCTCAGACCGTGGCTCCTGGTCAGATGGCATTTGGTGGCTCAGTAAATGGACTGATGAGCACAAGCCGGTTTCCAGAATTGACTTGCTGGGTGGGCGTGAGCAATGGCTTCCCCAGGTTTCACAGGGGAAGTGGCTCTGGCCTCCCACAGTGCTTTGTGACAGCTTGTGTTATAATTACGCTCACATTAACTGCTGTGAGACCCTTACTAGTCTGTCTCTATAGCAAGCCAGCTAGTAGGGCTGACAGACGGTAAAGATTTTATAAATGAAATGTAAATTCCGGAGGAAAGAGAGAGAAAGACAGAAGAAAAATATATGTTGTGGGGAGAAGAATGTCAAATCTCAGCTCCAGCACCATTGGTGCTCCCAAGAGGACATAGGATTCACTCAGATGGGTCAAATGAAGAGACTTGGCTTCCAGGTTTCGCTTAAGGATACAAGAGCTGGAAAGTACATCATTCCCAACCTTATCATGAAAATGAGCCAGACAAAAGGTAAATTCTTGAGTCTTCCTTGAACTCCTTCTCTGAGGTCACAGGGCAACCAACCGGCCCAAATCCAAGGAGAGACAGACTCCTGCAGAAAGAGACAAGATGTGAGCGCTAGCTTACCTGGGGTAGATGCAGTCAGACACAGGTAAGAAGAGTTCAGCTAGGGTGGTCGGCGAATTTGTGGGGGCTCCGTGTGTACTGGTAAGAGAGTATGAAGCCCTCAGAGGCTGCAGAAATTGGGGGAGTCCACATCCTCTCCAGGATTTTCTCCACAAATCCCACCAGGAGTTTTCCCACAGGAAAGAACAGAGAAGAATTTAAGGACCATCCCTTGTGGCCAACCTGGGGTAGGGGGCGTACAGCGGCTGCTGAGGGGCACAAACACCTGCTCTACCCAGGCCCTCTGACCTCGTCTCCCATCAGGAGCAAAAGCCTCCATCTGTGAAAAGAAGAGCAGGTAATGCTGCCCTACTTTGTCACTAGACTGGGGAAATCCTTTCAGCTGAGTGAGGGGAGAAAAGAAAGAAAAAAAGCAGCTGGGAGAGGAGGAGGAGTACGTAGGGAGCCCGGAACTGCAGCCTGAGCAGAGGCAGAGCCACCAGAGAGGCCCCACTGCGAGGCTGAGGCTTAGTCAAAATAGGAGAGGACACTGCGCCAGCACCACGGCCAGCCGAAGGGCTACCAGGAGCAGTGAGGAGCAGAACGCTTCTGGGAGACGGGGCGAGGAGGGGCGAGAGCTTGGAAAGTGGAAAGAGACCCTCCCTGAGGTGCGGCCAAAGGGAGGACCCAAGGCAAAGGGTGGAGCAGACTCGGAGAACAGAACCCTTTGGCAAACCAGTTTCGCATCCTAAACACAAGGAAGTACTAGAGGCATTTAACGCCTATGGTGCACTAAGGTTCGCCATAGCAACAAACCACAAAGACAGCCCAAACCCTAACTAAATTAACTTGAACCCCCTTACAAGAGTCCCAGTGGAAGGAGACTCACACCCATTTCCAGGCAATTGCCCAGCCTGTACCGTGCTACACAAGATGTCACACGTTCAGCTGAACATACCGAAGGGCCCGGAAAAAGCAGCACGTTCCCAGCAGATAAGAAGTCACCAGAGCCACGTTCAGACATGACACATGTTGA